TACTACTTTTCATATTTAATATATATTTTTAAGTTATAATTACACATCATCTCATGCCACTTACTAATAATTAAGTCATCTGCATAATATATTTTAAATTGTAAGTATTTAAATAATGAAAAAATGCATCCAGTAGTTGATGCATATTTTGTTTGAGTAGGAAAATATGATCATTATTTGGTTTTATATTATTTTTTGCAACAATTGTTTCTAAAACTTCCTAAAAGTGGAAGAAAGCATACAAACACAAGGATTTTCAAGCTGGTGGCTACTTAAACTTCTACCATAAATTAAAATTATATAGTACTTCATTACATTCATCACAGCATTCTAACAACACACTTTCTCTGTATCTGAGTTGCAAGCAATAAGGTCCTTGCCTTTTTGTGAGCAAAGCTACTATTCCTACTCCACACAATGAAAGTACTGAGTACATTCAGTTTACAAGTCCATAGATTAATTCTGACCTGTTATTAACACCAATTGTTTCTAACACTACTACCTATAAGCAGTAGTTCAGCACTGAGGTTCTCGTGCATCCATCCTGTTGTTTAAACACTCATTTTTCTTATCAGCAAATACAAAAGGTTTTGATTTACTTGATCCTCATTTAATCAGGAAACTTGCACTTTCCCCTTTTTGCTGAAGTGAGAAACTGCTTTTCAGGGCTCTGTGTTCTCTTTGGTGTCTCTTCAATACTGGCAGCATAATGACAGCTCAAATTGCATGCCCCCACCCAACCCATCAATTTTTTTACTTGTTTTTCATGCTACTTAGGCCACCATAAGAAAAGATGTTTGGTTTTGTTTTTAAACAGTTCGTTAACTTGAATTAGTAAAATTACTTATTTCTTGATTTCCTAAGTTTTAACTTGATGAAAGGAATTTTCCACTGTATACTTGACTTATCACTAACTTCAGCACAACATTCCATATTAATAAAATACGCACTTTCGCCCTTTTCTCCAAAGTTGTTTCCTAGAAAAGGAAGCCAATCTTCTCCAATAGTAAACATACAATATTTAACAAATAATTCACTAGAGACCATAAGAGCTAAACGATCATTTGTGTGTTTCAGGAAATAATACTAACATTGTAAATAACATTTTGCCTTATCCAAAAGTAAGCAAGATGATTTATGAAACAAATAAAAAGAGACAGCTCCAAACCAAAACACCTTAAGCTGGGCTATGCAAAAGAGAATACAGAAAATATACACTCAGACCATGCCGAAATTCAATGGAAATTGTCATGTTCTCCACTTTAAAACTTCTTCACAAATGGATCACAAAAATAGTAAATGGCAGAAGACAGAGTATCTCTATTTATGAAGAAGCCAAAGGTAATACTCAGGCCAAAGTCTGCACTTACAAGAATCCCAGATCAGCATGCCAAAAGAAGGCCTTATGGTGGGGTTCAGTTACCTGCAGGTGCTGAAGGCCATTTGAGATGCCCTAAAGTATGCAAGATATCTATATGAGGTCAGCAGCTAGGACACAGAGACTTATGGGAAATAAGTATCACTCTGTAGTGGAAGCTGGGGGCATGAAGAATATTCTGCAGCACTAAAAGTAACACCAGTTGCCTAGATTTATTCAAATTAATAATGTCTTATATCATAACTGAAATCTCAAAAGGAAAAAAAAAAGGGACAGAAAAAATACACTTCCCATTTGCCCAGTGAACTGAATTCAGTGACCAGGCAGTAAGCTAAAGGAAAACTGGTAAGCCATCAAACCTTCAAAAGGCTCTTCTGCTTTTTGGTGGGGGGTGGAAAGCACAGGGTACACATTATTTATGCATTCAATATAACTCAATCATCTCTTCACACTGCATGGATCTTCCTGCATCTGTGTATGCCCTGTGCAGGATGAATGTCCTTAAAAAGACACCATGGTAATAGAAAATCTTGCCTCTGCTTCTTTCATATAATGAAAAACAGCTGCTTAGCAGCCACTGTGATTATTGTGTCCTTCCATCCTGCCTGCCACCTTGCTGTCAGCCCTATAACCCTCTCAAGTGATATATATTATAGTGGTTCTATCTTGGTTCCAGATAATTTATAATCCCAGTGTAAGAAAAATAATCAACAGGTACAGGTAACAAATAACTGCATGTAGCTAAAGTGATCCAGAAGAATGCAAGAGGATGGCATAACAGTTGTTAGCCATTGTGGCAACATTCCTACCTTTTAAGAAAGGTTTTAAGGAGAGATAATATATTAATTAGGATAATTGATTACTTGCAGTTTTGCTACTGTCTTCTATAAAGTGGAGTACTCCCCAGAAAAAAATGATGCATGAGCTATACATCATTATGGTGTTAGTGAACTCATAGGAGTATTACAGTGCAAAAGATGAGTATCAGAACACATAAATTCCTAAATATCTTACTATCTATCTCACACATTTCATATATCTTTGTGGATATCGTATCACCGCAGGTTATACTTAAGAAGCCAAACAAAGATATATAGGCTATTGCCTTTTAATGTTGAATTATTATATACATTCTAATATTTTTTTCTGACCTGACATCTTTTGTGACTATTTTGATGGCTACCATATACTCTGTAGTTTACAGGTGCATTTTGTTCAAGAGAATGCATGTAATGGCATAAGCACTCAATCATAAAGTAGTTATCATACATTACTTTATTCTAAATGTTTCATAAAGTAAGAGCTATTACATTTAACAAAGGAGAAATGAAAAAATCTCCATTATTTAACAGACTGTTATACTGACTAGAATATTATCACCAGAATAGAAGCTGTATTTTAGGAAAGCAGTGATTCCGAGGTCAATATGTCCTGAGGAACTCTAGAAAAAAGTGGACTTATTAGTGAGGAAAAGCACTGCACTAACAGTCTATAAATTACTACAAAAAAACCTTCATTGAATCTCTTTTGTTTTCATGCCTTTTTCACAATACCCCTTTAAAACAAGAACTAAAAGAAGGAAGTGAAATGCATCACTTAGGCTGGTCAGGTGGAATAAGGATAGGTGTTCAGAATGGAAATAATCCATGGAAAGAAAAATTATTAGCAGTTGTGTAGAGACACCATAATTCTCTGGCTAGATAGCCTGAACACTAAAGTTTGCATCTTCTACTGCATGCTGCTCTCATGATCAAGACAGGCCTGGGGAAACCTGGGAGAAATCAAGCAGTGAGGAGTGAAATGAGGGTTTGAAGCTCAGGCAGAGGGGAAGCGATGAATGAGTGGATTCCTTCTGTTATTTAGGAAGAAAAAGTATGTGCACCCATCTGTACTACTGGGAAAGTAAAAAATAAAGAATATCAGATCTTTGATAATTTGACTTCCCACATTCTTCTATTAGGCTGGTGAAATAAGGGATACATGTGTGACAAGCTGCAGCAAGCTATGTCAAGCTATGTGTAGAATGGTTCCACTATTCAGTGGCCTCTGAAATACAGAGGGAAGAATAAAACTGATCAGAATATTAAAATACAGTACCTACAGTAGAAAGGTGTATTAGAGGTCTTGAAATACAGGTATTATCTGAACTAAACAAACCCGCCTCAAAGCCCCCATGATTCTGCTATTATGCTACATTAGAAGAAATCCCTTTCAAAGATTAATCAGCTTATCTAAATGTACAGCATTTAAAACTACACAGAGCAGAGTATTAGCCATTCATAGAGGATACAAAAAACTAAATGTGTCCTTTCTGCCTGGCAAGCACCATATAGTTCAAGGTGGATCTGAAAACTGAGAAGGGACCTGGGCCAACATGATCTCAATTGTTATTTTCAATAATAAAGTACAGCTAGAACCTCAGCATGCAACGCTCGTGTGGTAGGGGACAGGGACAAAATGCAATGTTCTGAAACAGCTCTTATGGAAAGCATGCACAGTTTGTGACAGGTATTTGGTCTGTGGAGCTACAGTCTTGTTTGTTCCCCTACTTTTAAATGCCATCTTCCAAAACCAAAGGATAACAAGTACAAATTATATCTATAAAACAGCATCACAACTTTATTCTTAATAGCCAACTATTGAAATGCAAGCATACATTATAAATAGAAAAACAGCTGGCTTGGAGCACATTGCAAGCCACTAACACAGTTGAGGGATTTGAATGACATCATAACCCGTGAGAGCATGTTGCTGGCCAGCTGGTGTTATTTATAATATACTCATAATTGAGGAAAAAATAAAAAGGCAAAAGTTAGGTATTGCAGAAGTAACAAAGTTGAATTCTCTCTTTCCCAGTGTAATTTTAATTGTTATCAAGAGTAATTATGCAGATTACTACTAAAAAGGGAGAAAATCACTTTATAAATACAACAGCACATTTACCATAAATGTCGTGGAAGCCCCCCGAACTGGGCTACTTGTGGTACTGTGTTCATAGCACTGTAAATCCTAGGAAATAATATGTCTTCTGTGTGGTTGTTAAAAGATCACAAAGCTATTTTTCCCTATTTACAAGTAGTGCTCAACAATTCTGTTATTTTTAGTAAATTACAAACTGCTATTTTAGGGTTAATAGCACTGAGAGTTGGAGGTTTTAATTGTTAGTCAGCATATAAGCTTGCCAAGTTTAATAATGTAAAGATGTGTTAAGAAAAAAGTATATAACCAACTGCCTTTCTATACTATATAAATAAAATACCTGTGCGTCTGTGCATAAAGAAAATGAGTACATGTATACAAAGGTATGCATATATAAAAACAATGCCCATACATATATAAGCTTTTACTTACTTAAAATGCAGACACACACACACGTAAATACAAATGCAAACATAGCTATTTGATACTTCACCAGAATACATTTACTTATTTTTCATGGCAGCACAAGCTTTTTTTCTGTCTGCTAACCCCTCAGTCACTAATTCACATTCTTTTAAAGGGAAAAAAATATGCTTCTGTGCTCTAGTTTTAAAATGCAAAGGTATGATGTTATTTGTCACCATGCCCAAAAAAGTCCTTACTCGGTAACTTTGCCAGAAGAGGGAGAGAGAGAGAAGGCAAATGCTCCCCCAGCTGTTTCCTGTCTACAGTGTCTGTGTAATGTAGATAAATGTGAGGATTTTCTCTAAATCCCTCTTCTGTTTGCTAAATCTCACTGTCACTGCTAAAATCAGAGCAGATAGAGCCTGCGCAATGGAATAAAGTCCTCAATATTGAAATGTGACATTGCTCTCAACATCTCACATCTCTCTGGATTTCTTTTTTCTCATCATTACTGCTAACAAATTCATTTCCAGACTTTGCACTTTTAAGAAGCAATGGAAAAAATCAACAGTCTTTCAACACAATTAGTTAAGTGCTGCTTGTGTGATTTCTTGAAGGTAAATCTTTATTACTATTTCAAATAATTTTTTAGTGTTATTTTACTGTGTGTTGTCTGCTTCTGGTTTGAAGAGTATTGTGCACTTTTCAATAACATTATGTTAGAACTGAGAATTATTTATAAATTGCTGAACATGCAATTTTATGTGATCTGGAAAATGGCTGTATGTAATAGTTGCAATTACATAGATAACTGTAAGGGTAAACTATTGCAGATACATGTCTTGATTTTCACTTCTATTGAGACAACTTTGCAATATTTCAGTTATGTCATTATTAAGAGGTCAATTACATCATTGTCTATACTGTTAATTAATGCTTCTGAAAATAAGAACTTTTAGCTATTTTCTGCAGGTGCAGGGTTTTATAGAAAAAGGTATTATTCACATGTTAAGTTTCTGCAGTTTTGTTATACATAATGATAGATAAAATGTTCAGGCTTTCACAAGGAAACTTTTAAGGGATGTTGTCACTGCAGCAATTTTCTGGCAGCACTGTAGCATTTACTTGCTTTTTGCTTTCATAAATGAAAAGTAAATGTGAAGTTCAGTTTGTTTTCTACATTAGAAACCAGCTGCGACTCTTGCTGACCTTGCATATTTGTATAGCTTAAGCAATTGTACATAAAGAAAATGGAAATTGCCCTACATGTTCATCTCCAAGTTTTCCCTTCTAGGGAGGGCTGTTTCAGGAAAGTTTGCATGTGAAGTTTTATGTTATGACCCTGTAATTTCTACACATTAATATAAGCTGTCTTTAAGTGAATTTGGCTTCAGTAGGTGCACTGACCTCTGTTTCTGTCAATTGGCCCTATTTCAACTTTCCATTATCAGCAAATTTATACCTTTCAAGAACTTTTTTCTTTAATATTTTGCAAGGACACTTATGCAGCTGACAGAATTCTCCTGTTTTAATTGTTTAGGGCCTAATTTTTCATTTTTTTTGAGTGCCTTATACTTAAAACACAGCTCATTCCTTAATGTGATTCAAAACACCAGGTCTGTAATTGCTATGGGTGAAACCATTCTCTTAATGTATAAATGGGCACCCTTTCCAGCATACTTGAAAGATGGAGTTTTTTAAGTACTGTGGAAGGCACTAAGAGACATAAAAGTAATGTGCTAGCTCCTCAGCTGGTACATCCTGCCAAGCTTCCTTGGAATCAATAGAACATATTGATTTAGGTTAGGAAGTAGCCCAGATACTTTAATCAAAGTTAGCAGTATTTAGATCTTGATCCATTCTAAAGTGTATCTATGCTCTATTTGTATAATAATAACTAATGAATACTGTTATTACATACTAATTACACACTTCTACTATGGTTTGGTTAACAGGTCCAACCTCTATATAGCAAAATGTAATTTTGCATGTAACTCTTGTTTTTTTACCTATAGTATATGCTATCCATAAAAATGTTCCCCCTTCGAGATATTTATAATTATTGTGGATGTTCTTATATGTTATTAAAATGACCAAGGATGTGAAGAATTCTTGTGCACAGCTTGTGCCAACTGATAGTTTGTTAGCCAAAGAGGACTTATATAGGACAATTAAGAAATAAAAGAGATGTGGAGTATTCGTATAAGACATTCCTCTGTGGTGCCACTCTTCTGGACTATTAAAAGTGGAATGCAGCAAAAGCTGGTTATTTTACTAAAAAAAGAGGAAATTCCAGCTGTGAAAATATGGTCAGTCATTCTATGCAACTGAAAGAAGTGCTTAACTAGGCTCATCCTGAACCTGTATTCAATTTCCAAATGTAATTAGATGCTTCTATAAACCCCACCCACATGCCAAAGCGTTTTCTTTTAAGCTCTCAACTTTCTAGTCAAATCTGGGACATTGCAAGCACCCTGCCTGTTTGTAAAGAACCTGAAGCAAAATTGGATTACAACTTCGTATTTTCTTAAGAATATTCCCCTCAGACATAAATGGGAACTTTGATTTTATCACGAACATATTGAATCGACTAATGTTATGTTTAATTAAAATGATGAAGTAAAGGTTTAAACTATGTTCTGGATTTAGTTTTGATGAAACAGCACTCAATTTAACAACTAATTGATTGAACCCTAGAAACATGTGAGTCTATTTTCTTTTCCCCAAAGTTTTTACTTGCTTGAAAGTTCTTGACTGTTGTTAAATTTGGAGATAAAGTTAGAAATTCTCTGTGGTTTATACTGTGCAGCCTTTTTGGCTTCCACTAAAGGAAAAACAGTAGATAATGTGTTTTGTTGTAGCTCAGTGCTGATATTTATCTGAAAATGCAAGCCAGCTGAAAAGTCTTGAAAAATACAAAATTGTTAAATATCTAAGATTTATGTTCATTTCTGGCCCAAATGTTATACAAGAACAAAGTGTTAAATACATAATGTTCTTGTATTTGTAATGTCTTCCAGCCTTCTGAGGCGTGTGCTGAACAGCTTTCTGCTCTACCTCCTCAGAACCAGGAACCATCTTAAAGTGCAGGTGCATTACATTTACCTTAGAAATTCAAAAATATGGCAAGGGTAAAAAGACATTGATGCTGTTAAGATACAGAATCGTTACAGGAAACAATGTCTTGAGTCACTGTCATTCATTTGTAGCCCAATCTTCCTCCATCTGCCATTGAAGTCATGTCCATGCATTAAACCTTGTTGGTTTGTAGATGGTAAAGTTGGCTAAAGACTCTTGTGAATGGGAAAATAATTATTCTTTCTTTTTATGCTACATCATGGGATCTAGATTTGTTCATTATTGTCACAGTGGAAATATCAGGGAAAAAAAGTGGGATAAACTCTTATTTATAGATTTGTCTGTTATTCAGCTTTGACTTACATTGAAATAGGGGACTCATCCAGCAAAGTATTAAGATCCTTTGCCAAGAAAATAAGAATTCTTAAAAATTGTTAACTAGAGATGGCTCAATACCCCACTGGATCAGATCCTATATGAGCAGACTATTTTATCGGTTTTTCAAAAGTTCAGTAAAAAAATATATAATTAAATGGTCCCTTAAACCCTGAAATAAACTTTAGGGAAGATTAATCATTTTACTCCAATTACATTACACTAGTCTGCTAATACAAAGCACTTTTAAGTCAAGGTTAACTGTGTGTGCAAGAAAAATTTGTAACTTCTTACCCGACTGCACTACTAGGGTTAACCTTGAAAGTAAATAAAATTTGCACCTTTCAAAACTAGCATTTTTGGCAAGTCATCTAAATCAGTTTAGAACATGCATTAAGCACATTCTTCACTCTCCTGTTACAAAATATAATTAGCTTTTCCTGGACTTAAAAAAAAAATAATGTTCTCTTTGACATGTTAGGTATGACCTTTTGTGGATATAAACTGATATAAAAGGAACAGTGCAAATTTACACTCATTGAGGACTGGCCTTTCTTTAATCAAAAGGCCGGGAAAAAGATAGTTTGTAACCAAATGTAAATAAGGAAAGATTTATCACGTCTGTGTATACCTCATACCCAAACCTAAGAGGATATAATGGAGGTCAGTGAAAGTATAGCTGCTTCCATCAAGTAAAGATACAATCATTCCAACTAGTGCTTCTCTTAATTTCCTGAATGCTTCCAAATGTTAATTTGCTAGTAACAGAGGATTGTGAGAATTTTAGAATGTGGTCTCCTACTATGGAAGATCCCACATCAACTCTTCTGTAACTTTGGCAAAGTCTACCTTGAAACTTTTGCTTTTCTCTGATATTTTCATTTTTAAGGTGGCTGGAGAACCATGGAGAACTAATCATGAACCCTTTTTGTACTGGGCCAAATTTCCTTCCACACTGTTTATAACCATTTATTCTCGTGCCAGTGCTCGCTCTTTAATTTAAATAGCTTTTCTCTGTCATACGCCACCTCCATCTTCCACAGTACATTGGCAAGCAACTGTCATATTCTCTCTTAGCCTATCTGGTCTGAGACAAAATAATTCAATGTTGCTTAGTCTTCCTCACTCATAATTCTGGGCTTCCCTTTGCCTGTCTATTGCTCTCTTCCATCCCCTCCTGTTGCAGGAGCAACCATAAATCATAGTTATTACAAGGTTCTCTAACTGTGTGTGAATGTGAACCAGGAATATTCACCAGAGGAAATAATCTGCTTACAAAATACACAGACTAGAATATGTGGACAGTTGCAAAATTATGGTGAAGCATTTCCCGATACTGTGTTTATTGTCTAACAAATTACAGTACATATGCATTCTGAACTCACAAGGCTGCAGCAAGCATTCTCTTTAAGGCTCTGTTGGGAAATTCTGACACTGCTTTTGCTTCCTTGGCAGGTGAAGATGCACACTGTGTCCTACATCCATTTCTTCTACCTTGGCCTGTGTTTGCTTACCTTAACCAGTTCTGCTGCTGCTGGCCCAGAAACACTCTGTGGTGCTGAGCTAGTTGATGCTCTTCAGTTTGTGTGTGGAGACAGAGGGTTTTACTTCAGTAAGTCAACCCTTTCTTTCATTCAACTGCTAACTTTGCCATGTAATACACTGGAGTTTGCAGCTGCTCTGCAAGCTTAGAAATGATCAGACCAAGCTCCAAGTTTGACTAGTATCCTCTATCTTGGAGATGCCAAAATCTTCAGTGACCGGTTAAATCCAGGTGAAGGGAAACTCATGCATGGTGAGATAATAAAAACTAACACCAGCACAGTCAATAGATAAAATTAAGTCTTCAACAGTGTGGATATATTAGTACCCAAATTACTTTGTGGAGAAAGACCTAAAGTTTGAACAGCATGATAATTTTCCTTTGCTGTGTTTTAGATTGTGCAAAGCTGAAGTATTTAGAAAAGTAACTCCTTTATCTTAGCATGTTGCAAGTGCTGTCAAGATTGAGAACTACACACCTTTTAAATAACAGAAATATATTTCTAATTTTCACCTATTTGCCACTCAAATAACATAAAATTAATGGAACTTTTAGCTAGGAATGTATTAATTCTGTATTCATTCCTTAATATGTTTATTCAAAACATGTAAAAATTTGTGCTTTTAGAGCCTCTGAAGCTAGTGTTTGCTCCTAATTATATTATGTGCTTGTATGAAGTTCTTGTCTGAAGTTACTTCTCCTTCTGGGCCCCAGTTGCTGCTCTAAACAAGAATATAACTAAGAAAAGGAAATATGGGGGGTTTAGGCTATAAAGACAAGAAATTGACTGAAGGTTTTTTGTTTGGTGGTTTGTTTTTTTTGGGGGGGGGTTGTTTGTTTATTTCTATATTCTTTCTAAGGTCTAGCTATTTTATTTTCCTTTTTTTTATGTAATCCTCATTTTATCCTAATACTTCCTGCCTTCTAAGCTATTATGTTTGTTTTTCTGATCTTACCCACCCCATTTTATTAATTTCTATTAATAGGGTATTTGCTTTTGATATTTTTCTCCTTGCTTGAGATAAAAATATAAATCCAGATTCTCACACCTTTAATTTACAGAAAATACTGATTTTCTCAACATGCAAGCTGCAGACATTTCCACTGTCTTCTTGGCACTTTTTATTAAAGTTTATCTTTGAAATTGGCAGCCTACTTTTTATATATGCAAAATGATTCACTGAAGAATTCTTCTGTATTTAACAATTTAGCTATCATTCATGAGCATCTAGTTTAGGTTGTGTTTAACTTAGCATTCTGGTGCTAAACATAACATTGAAAATAGTGAAAACCCTCATAAAGGAATTTATTTTTTTCTACCAACTCTTTATGTGTTCATTTAAACACCCAAATCCCTTACGTTTATCAGTAGCTGAGTTACACTTAAGGGCTATTTGAGTCATACAAACACTTTCTCTGTGTAGCTGGAAGAAATGTAAAGGAAGACTTTCATCTCTCCCTCCTGTTTCTGCACCAGAAAACAATGAGACAATATACTTCATCCTTAGAACACCACAACAATTGGTTTTTACAGTGAATGTGTCCAAAGGCATTTTCCCAGTCATGCTTCTCCTGGCAAAATGTTTGCTGCTTGTTCAGAAAACTATCACGCTTGCTTACAAGAATGGTTTTTACTGCCAAGCAATCAGACTTACGTGTACTCTTTGTGTTCCTCAAGGTAAGAGGACACGTGAAATGCTAGTAATCAGCAATAACTCCTTTTTCAGTCATGTCAGTTATTCTAAGTTTGCATGATCTGTTTCAAATCTCTATATTCCCTAAGCCAAATCACCTTTACTTTAAAATACCAGGGTAGGTTTCTGAAATTTTGAAGATCTTTAGCCTTGAAATCTTGAGTTTTATCTGCTGTCAGCAAAGAATTTCTCTCTAGTTTACTTTATTGTTTTCTTACATTCAGAGTTTTCACATGAAATAGTGTAACTGTTGACACCATAAGGGTCTAGCTTGTTTTGTATGGAAGACCGTGGAAAGTTTTACTAATGAATGACCACCATGTGTTGGGAAAGTCTTTCACTGTTGATTACTTGACTGTAATCAACAGGTTACAACTGAAATATTCAACATCAATTTTATGAAGTTGATATGTGGCCCTTGGATGTTAAGAAATGTGTGTCCTCTACATGACTATTCTGATTCATGAGGCAGCAATTTAATCTTCTTAGCCTTTCCGTCTTATTTGATAGCATTATTTTAAAATACAGAACTGTAGAAAAGTAAGTCCAGTAACATTGGTAAAACAACTTGAGATCCTCATATTAAATGCATTACAGAATGTAGCATATTGTTGGAAGTTAAAAATGTTGCTCCTTTCTTGGGACTTTAAGAATCCCACATAATTTCCAGAAGTAAAAAAACACTGAAATTTTTTCTTTCATTGTGAAGAGGATGTCAGTTTAAATTGTATCTTAAGCTTTGTATTCTCATAGTCTGGTTCCTTTATACAAAATGTAATGAATAGTAATGCTTGCCTTTAACTTGCACAGGAAATAGCTTTGAGGGAAGGTTTTTCTTCCATCAGTCTGTATTTCACTAGAGACTACAAATATAAAGAATACCTTTCGGCTGAGGTGGAAATCCTGGTTCAGATTCAAGGTCAAAGCTTTTGACTATTCCTTGGGAGTTGTGGGTGGAAATGAATATAGAAATAATTGAGTTACTTTCTTTTGGAACTCTGTACTCCACAACCACAAGGCTATGTCTATGGCTAGGACTGGAAGAAAAAAAATTCCTTTCTATAGTCTACTCTGCCCAAGTTCCTAGGTATAAAAGGATATTCTTTACAGCTTCTGAAGAGACGTCCCAGCTGCTTACCACACAGAAATAGAAGTATTGACTTCAAGAGGAAGTCAAATGTGGTTCCTACCGCTTGCTTTCTTCATGAGGTAGACTGGCAAGGAGCATTTCTCCAAGTTTTTTAGGGGAGAACATTGTAGAAATCCCAAAATGGAGCATCTGCTTTTTCCTTTAGTCACATGAAACCACAGCCAACACTGGCTATTTGTTGGACAGCTTTTTCTCCCACATGATTCACCATTGAAGAGCAGGGTGTTGCCATCTTTTATCCAGTAACATCTCTCTAGCAAAATTTGTGCCACTCAGGTTCCTGTGTGTTAGCTCCTGTTAGGAGAAGCCAACAGAGTCTGACCAGAGCTACACAAGTGGCTACACAACTCTTCTCAATAAATGCTTCTCTGGTCTCAAAACCTCTGGATTCAACAGTCATGGAGCATAGTGAGATGTCTGCTATGCTCATTTGAATTTGAATGTCTAGAAAGCTCTACCATGCCATTGCTATTACAAAACAATGCTGAGGACAGAGAATGTTAGAAAACCTAAAAGTGCAAGTTACAGGAAACTTACGGAAGTGATAGCCAAGAGGTAGTCTTGTCTTATTACAGGAATTTTAGTTTGTAGATTACTCAAAAAAACAATAAAAATAACAAAACAAACCAACCAACCAAACAACCGCCCCAAAAAAAAGCAAACACATACATCATCAGAAAATTAGGATAAGACAGTGAACGTAACTTTTGGTATTCAGAACTGTCATCAAGTCTCATTGCTTTGTAGAACTAAGATATATATGGAGAATTTCATGCCTTTCAAAGCATGAAATAAATGACATAGTGCTAGGAAATTACAGCTTGTTTCTTCCATTTCCCTTTAATAGCTTCTTGTTTACTTCAGGAAGTCTGCTTTTAAGACGCTATTAAAGTTTCTAGGTCTGTCAAACCTATCAACATAATTACAAGAGATAGCATGACACTAGGTTCTTTAACTACTCCATACCTGTAGGAGCCATGAGTCATTATCTTGCTGGGTCCCTGATTGAAAGGATTGTTAATGTTACAAGCCCAGGAGTGGCAAGCTGAAAAACTGCCATGGACACACACAGCCTGTGGTGTCAGTGACAATCTTACAAATCTCTGCAAACAAATGCTGGTCATCTTGGCTATGTTCACATAGCAAGATCTTACAGTGTTTTTAAGTTCCTTGGTCTGGCTACATGCCCCATTCATGTCCAAATCCTGTATTCACTGAAGATTTGAGTGTATTCCTTTACCTCCAGATTCTTCTTACAAGAAAGCTAACCTAGAAATGAGCTAAAATGTGCTTTAGCCAAGCCTGCAGCGTCAGTGCTCAGGAAACCAGAACTATAGGCAGTTGTACCTCTGTAAGAAAAAGAACAGCTCTGGCTTCTGGAATGGTGTCACTGTATAGATAAATAAACGATACCTAAGTTTGGTGTGTGCTTTTTTGCCACTGGTGGTAATCATTGAGGAAGTTCTTAAAATAAGCCAGTCTTTCAATGAATTTTGTCCTTTTTTACCCATTAAATAAGGCTACGGAATTTTCATAAAGACTAACCTTAGTTTAGTAAGTTTAATCTTCTTAAGTTAGCTCTGTAATAATAGAGGGAGATATTCTGCTTTCTTTCTCTATGGGTCACACTGGGTCTGGGAGGATTTAGCTCTAAAACACACTAAATTTAGACTGCAAACAGGACTCCTCTACAGCTAGTTCTCAGGTCACCAAGGATTTAATGATTTTTCAACCTTTTCATTAAGACCGACTGTAGTAGTAATGGTCATTTTAATGAGGTGATTGGAAATAAATCATTGATCAGAATTTCAGCAAGGAACATCTCTGCAAAAAGTGGCTACTACCAAAACAAAATAAGTACAGTTTCTCCATAAGTTTAATTTGAATGCGTCCCTATTAACTGTTAGATGTTAGAGATGAAAATGCTCTTTAATGGTGTTTGCCTTTATTTATGCACTAGACCAAATTTCAAATTTGGTTGCAAATAGCAGAAAGCTGTTATTTGACATTTGATTCCCTAACTGCTATATGTGTATTTAATACATTGTTTAGTCTCATATTGGATAAAGTCACTCAGAGAAGCACTTGGCAAGATCAGCATTAATTCTTGGCATAGCTGCCCCTCTTACTTTTCCACTGAATCTTAAATACCAAGAAAAACCCTGACTTCAATTCTGGCATAGGCTTTATGCAACTGGCCAAAACCTTTGCATATGGACCTCTTC